AAATATATATATATTTTTTCATTATAATGTATTAATTCTTAAAAAACACTATCCACTTTTAATTAAAGGTTAGATCCAGTTTATGCATGGTGTGGTCTTCATACCAATTTTTTAAATTTAGAATCCTTTGGAGAAAAAAAAACATATTGCCTTGCTTACAGTATAGCAATATATTGTGATACATAATGATCCCTGTGCTGTACGTATCATATAACCTAATATTCAATTAATATTATTTTCAAATTTTCATCTCAAAAGCTTCAAAATCATAGAAAGTTTGTGGAAATTTAGTAATTTATCACCGGGCAATACAGATTTATTTTTTAATACTGGTTTTAAAACTGGATTTTACTGGTCTGCGATGATGTCATTATAATTCCAATCAATATTTAAAAAAATAAGAATAACTTTCAATGGCATCAAATATTATACAGGGATTTCCTGGCTCTATGGAGCCAGCAGAATAAAAAGTAAATAAGTGTTACAAGACAAATTGTTTCTAAAAACATACCTGATAGAAAACTTTATTCTGAAAGTAAGTTAGGAAAATTGTTTTTTTAGTTACAAATATTCTTAGATGGTGTCTTTATGGACTAAATTTTTCGCAAATATCAAACAAAAAATCATGAGATTATTCAGTTATTTTGCCAGAACGGCTCATAAAGGTTGAGTTTTACATTGATTTAGTTACATTTTTAAACAAGATGTTTTGTCCAATTTCTGCTTCATTGTTTGTTCACTTTTAAACCATCATGGCTACATTCATAATTCACTGATCTGTGTGGAATAATCTGCATTCAGTGTTTTTTAAGAACATTTATTCAGAGTTTTCCTCATTAGTCCAAAAGAGTTGGTGCATTAAGAGCCTAAAGCAGAGGTGCTTTCATTAAATTTACCTTAATACAAAATGAACTCTTTAATCACATAAACTTATAATACCTGCGCCTTTCAGTCACACAGATGCTGTCAGAATAAAGAGCAGTTCTGGTCAAAGTTACATTTTCGATTAATACATCAGTGCTTCAGCTGTGGAGCCAAACTCAGGATGATCTGTCAATCCCAAAAATACAAAGATCATTGAGTCAAACATGAGCAGTCTGACCTGTGAGGACAAATATTTACAGCCCTGATTCCCATCAGACATTATGTCAAAGAACTATTTTTTAAAGAACGCCTCAAAATCAGTTAAGTGGAAATCGTTTAGTAGCATTATTGTGTATAAATAGATTAAATAAAGGGTTACAAAAGAATCTTGAGGTTTTTTGAGTTGTCAAACCAATGGTTCCCAAACTTTTCAGTTTTTAACCTACAAAATACCAGCAGCAGAGACCTGTGCCCCCAAGGATTATTGGGTGGTAAACATTGGTATCAGGTCAAATAAACAAGGGCATATATAGTTACAATATTCATTACGTTAATTTTATCCATTTATAAGTACACTAACTTGAGTCTTTAACAGCCAAGGCTATATAT